ACTACCAGTTACACATCAAAAAACATACCCAGTTCGCTAATATTTGCCCTGATTTTCCTTCGAGCCATCATGTGATAAGGGGAAATCTGTGTCTGAGTGTGATTCGCCTAATAGCCTGAGATGGCTGAGATGTAACTAACATACACCATCCAATTGGATCAGTCTTCGATACTATAATATGAGATGTAATCGTCAGCTGACGCCAGCTAAATCCTGAAATACTAACCATTCAACACCTGACTGAGCTGGAGATACAACCGATTGATGTGTAGTTTAGAGCATAGAGAGATTCCGTGTTATACGTGAAGGATATTTTACCTGGAATAGATTTTGGTAACTGGACGAATACAGGTCAGAATTCAAGATTTCCTACAAGCCCCATTCCGGCGTTTCCTGCAATAACTATTCAAAAGCTCACTCAACAATAGTGCGATTTCTCTGGTAGAATGAATGATACACGCGTGTTCCATCATGAATCAGTGTGCTACCTGAATATTGATTACTGAAGATTGTGGAGGCGCATGATTGTATACAGAATGAAGAAATATGTGTGTTAATTACCCCACAACAAATAATGATAAAGAATGCTGAGTACAAGTGTCCCAAGTGAATAGAGATTAGTGAGGATTATGAACAACATACAAATGTTGTGATATTGGCAACGCGTAATTGTGTACAGAATGAAGAAATATTTGTGTTGTTTGAGGTCATCACAACATCACGCGTTGTGTGTCTGATGTATAAAGCTGTTAATATAATTATTATTACAATTACTATTTCTGATTATTTCACTTCAGAAATAATGATGCAAATAGAAGCTTATTTTGTAGAAATATCCGATTAACCCGTGATCAACTCAGAGAACCAAAGTGAAGCGAAAGGACATCAGATATTGTGTAGAATCTGTTGATGAGATCAGTGGAAACTGGACCCTAATTAACTGAATCAAATTTTCTACTCTCTCATACTGATACACTACTATTCACCTGTCGAACATGACACAGCTGAACTCAAACACAATAGACGCGCCTTGTATACTTTCACTTGTGTCATTCGCAATCTCATTTCAACAATCGTCGTGAAGTGCATAATAGACACCGATTGACAGCATCACTGTGAACATCATTCCATTCAATCTGTTCAGCGGAAGGAAGATCAAACATATTTAAGTGAAGTCATCTCATGGTGGACTATAATGTGAGAGTGAGTACAATCCCATATGAAGCACATATTTCATAAATCTGTAGGCGTTTATCAAATACCACTACGGAAGTAACAACAGATCGATTTGATGCTGTGCATTTTCATGGTGTCAATTTATCTTTAAAAAATAGACCAACGACTTTGGAATCAATGTAGGTATCATGTTCAGTGATTGTCATCGAAGAACTGCATTCTGCCCATTTCATATATGAAGTGTTTGGGTATGTATCTGAAGTGCAGGACTCCGTCCATATATCTGATATCACAATGGTTCACTTAGCATACTCTTGCCATTTCACTTATTACGCACGGTTCACAGTTCACTCAGGCTTCTTGATACTTCGTTCCTGTTAGATTGACTGATTCTCCGCTTGCTTAAGTTCTCATGAAATCCATACTTACTAAAGAATGGCGAGTGTTGATCATTCGAAGAATTCCATACTCATCTTCACGCTGTCGTTAAAATCCTACTTCCTTATTGATGAGTTGAGTTGAAAGAGAGTAAATTTGGCTTCTATTTACTCAAATGTGAGCCGGTCTAATATCGAGTAATGAGACGGCGTACTGTTTCACTCGAGTCTGTTACTCAGAAGTGACTTTTATTTCTTGAATGACGTCTCATACAGCACACCAACATCAGGGAGATAGTGTTTGAAATACAGTGAAGAGTGAACTTGTAACTGAATGAGAAGCACAGCTAAAGCCCTATGTTCCCCTAGGAATATAGGAATATAATGATAATAATTGCAGTGATATTCCAAACTTAATTCTGTGCATACATTCATCCAGATTATTGTGTATCCTGCTGTTTCGTGATCTATACTCTGGAAAGCAGAGAACACGAAGTTCAGCAAAGGTATCCTTCTGACGATTTCATTTTCACAGAATATTTAATTATAACGAGAAGCATGAGTGAATGACGAGACATGCAATAACGAGATAACAATGGAGTGATTAGTCAACATGATTCTTCAAACTGGTTGGTGTCCCGACTACCATATGCCTCATGATAATCTTATTGTACCACTTTTCACTATTATTCCAGAAATGGAGATATTCCTGGAGAATAGAAATAATTTCGTATTCTCGGTTCAAATCTGCATGTCGTGTATCTTTCTAAAATGATTCACACTGGCTGATGAGTGAAATCTCTCAGCGATTTAGGTGCATGCAAACATGAAATTTTCAATGAATATGTGCACGAAATTTGCGTTATAACCACAAAACTGACATCTAAAACTACTGACTGGGTCAGTGCAACTGGTTATGTATTGTGAAAGACCAATGAGGATGCACATTCAAGATTCATTTTGTAACTAACACATACGAAATGCCATTCTGTCCACAGTTGAGTATTCAGGATTTGAACGCGTGGATCTTGTGAATGTTCGAGAATATTTCGTGACTGGGAAGGAAAATTACACGTTATCTGTAGATCACTGAGGCATCTTCATCCTAACACTTCTAGTGTTTACAGTTATAATCACACATAACCCATAGTGAATTGACAGTTGAATTGACACCTATGTAGTTCACGGTATCAGGTGGAATGGATGAAATCACCGATCCGAAATAGTTTTATGAAGCAACCTTCACAGATTCATTGTGGAATCAAGTGAACTGACCATCACGAATCCGCTCAACTGAATGCCCAAAATTCCTTTGTCTCAGGTCAGCTTTGCTTGTCGTATGCCTTTCTAAATTTATTCAGCCTAGTTGATGAGTGAAATCACTGAGCGATTGGCGAATAAGACAGGAAGCAGATGTCAAGTGACAAGGTGAATTACAGATATGCACAAATAAAGGTATTGGTGGATTGGAGTAACCAAATATTCATACCATCCTGTTGGTTCACTCGACGTGGTATGCACGACAGAACTGATGTCACTGGAGGTAACAGTGTCTCGTGTACACACGCGTACTTCACGCGTCATCGTCCTATGTTTCTGGTTTTCCATTCGATATCCATTTTTGGATAATCAAAAATGAGCTGACATGATGTGAGATGCACTACACATGGTATCAAACTGGCTGATGACTTCATCAGTGAATTTGATAAATATTGTGATAATGTGATGTTGGGAGGAAGAAAGATGAAGCACTGATAACTGAAATGCATAGTGTTTCCAGTTCTGGAAATTTCTGTCAATTTCAACAACCTCACGTGAATCCCGAAATACTGATCATTGAACACGTGGGTGAGTCTGTGAAGAAACCTCAATCATTCAACTTCACAATACAATTCGAAAGTGGTCGATTTCTCAATCCCACGTATTGTCTACAGTCTATTCGATTTGTAAGGAATGCTCAAAGCTACAGTGTGACGGAGTAGTTGTTTAGAAGTTCCCTCGTGAACAATCTACTTCCGATAATTATCCTTGTTGGATATTTCAACTAGTATTGAAGTTGTCGTACTTCATCCTCCTGGATAACGCATCATTGTTCTTACACTTGTATATCATGTACTCCCTTCCTGCTTATTATTTGTCGTTCTCCCTGTGAGCTCTCTTATCTCGATGATTCTATTTGTGGTTGTGTGATACATCGAAAATGCGTTGTTTTACTGTGTGATTTAGTTTGAAAGAATTGTGGTGATTTTGACCTTGGCCTGCAGTCCTGAAATGTTGGTGTGTGATTCTTCTGAGGGGAGTGTTTATGCCATCTTACAGTGAATATTTAACTTGATTGTCGCGTAATCCACACTGTCTAATTTTGCTTGTTTAATTCTGCCCCACTTTACTTGCTTTGCACTGGAAATATCTCTCGCTTATAAAGCTGCCCATCGAAACTGATGAGGTAATTTTTAGTTTTCCATGTTATTATCGTCGATGTTCAATACAACCCAGCATATTCTACGACTGATAGCAAACTTCTAGCTGCCTTTGTAGAGCTTTAGGACTGTGAGTCCCTCGAGGAAGTTTCAAATAGCCAGACAGTGAGATACAATGAACGGTTTCCTCTGTTCACACTCAAAATATTCGGCATCGCCCATTACATACAGATTTATGGATGTTCATTCTGCAGACATTTCAGCGTATCTAGAAGTCAGCCGACGTGTCGGCCTTCAGATGTATCTATTTGCTATCAGTGTTGAGGAGTATAACTGTTATCACTATGCTAGATACTGGAATTAATGACTAATATGTGGTACGAACACTTGTTCGATTTCAAATTTCGTGGAAACGTGTTTTACCTACTCTTGATCCAGCTGATTCGCGTTATCCGCGATTATTCTGTCGAAACGAAATTGACTCATTTGTCTTCCAAATGAGGTGGGCTACGCGCAGAAGCCCTCACGCTTTGGTTTCCCAGCAGATCTATTTGTACCTTATTTTATTATTTTTGATTATTATTATTTTTTGGATTTCAGCCTGATTCCACACTGTACTATTTGATACAGGTATGCAATTTTCAGCATGTGATATCGGTAGCCCAAATTTTGCAGGCCGACCATAAATATCACGGGTTCGTCGGCAGAGGGTCGCACGCCGGAGCATGTGCATGGTCGGTGAGAGTCACAACCGCCAAGCCATCGACATAGGATTTATGTGTGTGGGAATAAGACAACGGACAATTTGTGCCATGAAAACGCTGTCTCATCTCAGAAGTATCTGACGAACCCTCTGCAGAAGAGATTCAGTATCCTGATAGCCACCTTATGAATAGCCTCACACTAGCACATTACGGATGTCTTCAGCCCACCACTAAATCTTCTACCGTGAATTCAAATATTAGTCACACCCCTGATCACAACCAGCAGTTCAATTAATGTTTGAGTTCATGAAGTGAAACCGGTGTAGCAGATAATTGATTTATTTAATTTAATTCAAAATAAAATTAACATTTACGAAAGCTTCTACAATCTACAAGTATTCAGTAGTATACCGACTTTGACACTCATTCTGGTTCTTCTCCTCAATTTCCTGTATGAGAATAAAATCAGTTAGCAATATTGGGGGATAAAAAACTATTACTGGCGAAATAATCAAGAGACGCGTATACTCGGGAGGAGGATGACTGTTGATGAACTGTGTGCTTATTCATACAATCCCAGAATTCTGAATATTTACAGTGAGTGGTGATTGCAATTCTCACTACCTGGACGACTACACGAGTTGCTATCTTTCAATAATTCACTATGAGTCGAGTGAATTTCACTGGCTTGCTTGCATATCCTCAGTGACGCCTATGAAATGTGCATGTGTATTCTCATGCATACATGATACCGTCTATTTAGAACTGCCACGACATTATTCGTCGGTGGATATCCGCACGGTAACTTACAGCGCCACTTATGATGCTTCCACCATTCGATTTAACAGGCGTATTCGAGATTGCAATTTGAACCACACACTCATTGACTTTTATTTGTGCTGTATGGTGGAAGAATAGTCGACGGTGAAAAATATTATCTAACTGTTGCAGTGAATACGCTGTGTTGTATTTTGTCCACTCATCATCATTCATGGAGATTCTGACCTGCCCTGCATTAACACACATTCTCCTCGTGTGTCGCTTTTGTATGATTGAGGATGTAAGTTGATGCAAAATATATCTAACCTTTCAACTTCTTCAACTGGGCTGTGTAAAATTTCTTGGAAACTGGAAATGACAAAAACGATTTGGAGAAATTTGAATTGACCAGTGAAAGGGATTGTTGTCTATCACTGCATTCGTATGATAACTAATATTCGATAGACTCTGACGAATAATTCTACAGAGAAAATGAACTCACAAATGGCAGTACTATACAAGTAGTTGGAGTAGAATACTGTTTGGATTTGAAATTCCAATTGCTCCACATCTGGAATAATTCATGAAAGAATAAATCTTCCGGATTGTATTTCTCAGAATCAAATTATGAGATTTGAACACAAAATTATGTTACATGAAATGACGCAAAACAGTCTGTTTCACGCACAGACTCAACCAATCGACAACTCTACAAACTCATCCACTTTTATGATGTTAACTTTGCATCATGTCCAAACTGCAATCATCATGTCACTGTGTTAGTGCTCATCCAGTTTTACGTTGACCAGATTGTCTTTCACACCATCTGAACAATTTCATTTGTAGACGACTGACCACATCCTAGACCACCAATAAACTCGCTCATCCTCCTCCGTACATTAATTTTTGACTCTCGGGAAATCCCCATCGTAGACTGATGCCAAATACGTGGTGGGTGTTCACGAATTTAAATCATGATGAAGGAATTGTGATATCTGAAAATAAATCTTTATCGTAGGTGTATGTGGAAGTGTTATTGATTTCATCAGGAATGTAAAAAGGGAACAAACAAATACCTTCTTTATTCGCGGAAGCTAGATTTTTGTGACATCCTTCTATAGGGAACGCCTCCATTTTTTCTATTTGTGGGTGAGTAAGAGTAGAAAAACAGTTTCATTATGTGGAGACTGGAATTTCGAAAATCGTTTCTCCATAAGGACAAAATATTTTAGATGCATTTACGTAATAAAATGTTACTTACTCTCATATCCTGTGGCTTCTTCAAGGTAACAGGTTATCGCATCATCACTTGAGTTTCCCACAATGTCTGAAATAATTAGGTTCGCACATATCAATCCATGTCTATTGTTTTCAATATAGTACGGATACACATTGTTTCAGGTTGAATGCAGATACAATCAAAATTTAGGCGAATAAAATTTCTTTACGAGCCGACAGATTCTCAAAAAATACCTAAAACGTGAGTTACAGCAGTCAAACAATTGTAGTCAATCACTTCCTCATGTTTATCGGTGCATAGAGAAATCTTTCATCTTTATATTTAACATCAGTAAATAAAATGGACTTATTAAAAATGATAGTTCAGATGGTGACGCGTGAATAGAAGCCAAACGAATATTATTAGCAATATTATTAATTGAAAAATAATTGCAGTTGGAAGTTAAGTATAGAAATGATTCAAAACATCTAGCTTACTGTCCAGGAGACCGTTTGAGATATCTAAGAAAGATAGAAAGGCATTAGTGTGTTTAACGGCTCTGATCAATTTCTGGCCAACAACTTTGCAATCATTCATCATGTTACAGTCGAATGGACGTCTGTGATTGAAATGATCGGTGAGAGAGCATTTCATCAACAGATAGTGTATCAAGAATGTGACTTCTGACGCATCAAATGGAAGCACAATGCTCAGTGAATAAATTTCGCGTATAACATTATGCTTAAAATGAAAAGAATTTCTTACAACGCACCTCTGAATGTGTTTCTACCCCATTTGTATTTGTATGCAGTTTCCAGGCAGGCCGTATCTAAAATAGATTGTTCATCATTTCAATAGATACGGTTTACTTACACTCTTCTACTTCTCCTCGTAAGCTTGCATTTTGACTGAGAATCTTGTCTAGGAAACAGAAAAGCAAGAGCCTTGAAAGTTAACAACTTTATGGAGACGTGTATTTTAGTGATGTCAGTATATGCTAAGTATTAGTCGACATGATCGATGTCATGATTAGTATTAAATTCCAAAGAATAATTCGAAGCATAATTTCGTCAGTGTGTAAAAATTAATCATTAGCGATAGGTCTCTAGGTTTTATTTACCTGTAATATTTTGAATTTCTCCTTCTGCAAATTTGAGTTCCGAAATTGCTCTGGATATTCCATCTGTGGAACGACGAGAATATTTCGAATGAATTGTTATATATTATGTAAGACTACTTAGTGCAAATGAATAATACACATTGAAAATAGTTTCACTGAACACAACTGAAAGAAGTTCAGGTGAGCCAATCAATCTCCACACTGTCTTCAATGATTTCATATCAGTTTTCGATTCGTCAAGAAAGACCATGGCTACAACGTTCATTGTAAGACATTCGTTATTCTCAAACAATTTTAATGACAAATCACCAAGTAGATTAATAAGCTCAAATAACATGCACGTTATTCATTCTTACGTTCAGAATTTTCTTTCAAATTTTCAAGTAGAGTTACATTTGTCAATTCACCTTGAAATGAGATGAAGAAGTGTAAACGACAATTATTATGCAGAGAAGCAGTTTCAGAACACTGAAGATTATCAGAACAATTTCTCCAATTGTATTCAAGTATCAAAGTTATCTAGAGGGCTTTATGTATTGCATTGCAGTGCAGAAACACACCATCGAAAAATGTATATTCGGGCAATCTTAGGGTATTTTAGCCGAAAAACACTATCAGAATGAGAGAGTGTGTCACTATAGTCTCCCAGTCAGAATTATCAGGAGAGACGCCTGCTTGAGTACTATTACACAGCTGGCAACCATCTGTCAAGAAAGATGCATTCGAGATGAAATCATACGCGAAAGCTCATAGAGTGGGGACTTTTAGAGTGACTGGCGAAATATTCAACAGCGCTAGTGAATACGGCTAACGTTTCGTAAGGATCAAGTCACATATATACCATCTTTTGAGAAAATGCTTACCTGAGATTGTGGCTGCAAATGCCAACACGGTGATGAAGGCTATGTGGCTGTATGTAAAGTAGACCATCTTCTTATGGTAACTGTCTCTCAGTTGCCTTATTTATACCACAACAAGCAGTCACAGTTACTGTTCTAATTGGCTGATTACAATAATCACGATTTCATCGTTGATTTGTGGAAGACTGTGAGTGTTGTGATTGGTGAGTGAAACAAGGTCTCATGACGTGGTGTGACTGACATCATGAATCCGTGGAATTTGATAGGTGTTATGAAATCCGTCAATCTGCAGAAACACTTCAATCCGAACAGTAAGAATAATTTATCTGATGGCATCCACATGAAGTTCATGACACGCGAGCATCATTTGAAAATACTATTTCATTTCAGTAGTACACAAAATGTCTTCAGTTTGTTCTTGTGACTCAGTGATTCCAAAGACTTCCTGCATTCAGTTTGGTAGTTTCCTCTGATGGATTGGTAACATCTATTTGGGTCAGTGTGACTGTTATATGCCAATTCACATGAATTCCTGCCAGCAACAAAAACTCTGGCATACTTGACGTTTCTTCCGCCTAATATTTGAACGTTGATAGGCTCAGTCAAATTGATGTCCGTGGTCGACTGCATGGCCCAATATGTGATGGTGGATATCATCGCCTCTTCCGACAGCTAGATTTTGTTAGTGGATGTGCGTCCAGATAGGGAGTTGACTTTGACTAATGTGGTGTTTATCATAGTCATTGAAACATAGTTTTCAGATGATGTTGGTTTTGTCTTTCGCTGCTGAGTCTTTCAGTTGACGAAGAGCCAACTGACTGGAGTGATTTTTCGGTTTGTGTGTGACATCAATTCCCAGACTAAGAGGTGTGAAAACGGAGAAGTGCAAAAAATCACGATATTCACAGTCACCAGGAGAACTAACTGATAAACTAGTGGGGAAATTTCAAAGCTCACGTCGAAAATTTGAAGAGTGGGATGGAGTAGCTACCTGGTAGGGCAATGACAGTTTTTTGTGAGTAGACCATTCAGCTTAATGGTTTACACAACTACATCCAAGTTATCTACCTGAGCTACAACGTTTTGTATATTGTACCTTATAGAATATCTCAAGGGTTGTTTTCAAATGAATGTGGATGAAGAATTATTCCCAGAAGAAACAGCTATCTCAATGCAAATCATGTTGATTTGGTTATGTGGAATGGTCTTTTTTCACACCAGAGCTGTTGGATTCGCAAGCATTACCTGTAGACTTAATCTAGATTAGATATATTCTCTCGTTTTATACAAAAATCCGCATTGGTCATTTGAGGTGAGGATAATTTTCATTCTTGTGCCATCTTATCCACTACAATTCCACGTTTTACCAATAATCGCGTTTGTGAAGATGTGGAGTATACTATTGTAGTACCACCACCTGCCCGGAGTCTATAAATATCGTGTAGGTATTGTGCTCTGCAAGTGTCAGAAATTAGAAAGATTTTGAGGCAGGTCGACGGAAGAAGAATGATGAGAATTTGATGTATTCACTAGTTGATAAATATTCGATGCGTTTTCTCCACTACCTAAACCAGACAGCTTACACCAACCGACGTGGCTGAAACCACCTTTTTCAGGATTCGCTAATTGACAAAAGGTTGTGATTCGACTGCTCCTTATTTATCATTATTATTATATCATTAATTCCTAGAGGAACATAGGGCTGCAGCTGCGGGTCTCCACTGCCTTCTGTTTTCTGCAAACGTTTTCACTCCGCTCCAAGTCTGCCCACATGCTTTCATCTTCTCCTCACATGACGTCCTCCAAGTCACCCGTGCACTGACGACCAACTCGCAGCTACCCTTTCGGGTTCCGCTCGAGCATTGGCTTCTCTAGTGATATCACTTGATGGTTTCCTCAGAGTATGGCCAGCCAATCCATCTCCATTTCTTCCTGCCTATTTGTTTCACAATCGGTTCCTGCTGGGTTGGTTCACTCATTGCCAGAGATCCCTGTTGCTGATCTTTTCTGGCCGACCATCTGATCTTGAGTATTGAGCGAAGGCAACTGTTAATGAAGGTCTGAAATTTGTTGGAGATGCTCTTTATGACGCGCTGGCCAAGTCTCTGATACGTATAGTAGCACTGAGTTCACACTGGAGTTGAAAATCCGGATGCTAATTTTGATGGTGAATGCTGTTGACCTCCACAAAGACTTAAGAGTAATGAAAGCTTGTCTTGATTTTCGGATTCCTACTTTCATATCCTCGTCAGTTCCGCCTGTAGTTGAAATGATGCTTTCTGGTTGTCGATAAGAGACAGCCTTGCCTCACTCCCGTCCTCACTTCGAAGGGCTCCGTAGGTTTCCCGTTGTGGATTACTTGGAATGCAGCATAATCGTATAACTGTTGGATGAGATGTATACTTGTCGATGGGACCCAGTAGTAGCGAAGTAGTTCTCAAATGACCTCTCGATCGACGCTGTCCAAGGCTTTTTCAAAGTCGATGAAGTTGAGATAGAGAGGTGATTGCAAATCCGAACTTTGTTCAATGATGATCTGTAGTGTGGCGATTTCATCAAATTAAGACTTGTTTTACCTGAATCCAGCTTGTTCTGGTCGGAATTTTGCATCCAGGTCATGTTTGATTATCTACAGCTACTTACACTTTCTAAACCTGACCAAATATCAGCTCAGAGTTTAGTATCGTATAGTAATACAATGGAATGGAGTGTGTTAGACACATCTCAACCATCTCACTCGATTCAGCTTGAATTGCCTCACTGTGTCATTTAGTTTGAGAGAATATTGTACATTATCGATGTATCGTACAACCACAAATCGAAATATTGTGATTAGAGATCTCACAGAGAGAACGACAAGTAATAGGCGTGAAATGAACACGTGATATGCGAGTGTATGGAGAATGATGAGATATCGAGGAGGAGAGAGGATGACAACAACTAAGATAGACGGAATATCCAAGTAAAGATAACTATCACGACTAGATTGTTCACAAAGAACTTCTAAACAGCCACTCCTTCACACTGTAGCCTTATGCATTCGTTACACATCGATTAGACCGTAGAGATTATATGAGGTTGATGAATCCACCACATACCAAATGAAAGGTGAAAGGTGATAAACGTGTGGGTGAGAAATCGCACTATTCTTCAGTGAGTTTCTAAATAGTTATTGCAAGAAATGCCAGAATGGGGTTTGTAGGAAATCTTGAATTCTGACCTGTACTCGTCCATTTACCAAAATCAATTCGAAGTAAAATATCCCTCACATATAAAACGGAATCTCTTTACCCTGTATGCAACACATAAGTCAGTTGTTTCTCAAACTCAGCCAGGTGTCGAATGATTTGTATTTCAGGATCCAGCTGACGTCTTTGAAATTGTCAGAAATTTCCGCGATCGGAAACATCACGCCTTTCTTACATCAGTGTTTCCTCTTTCTTCCTCTGAACATCAAATTATCACTGTATTCGACAAATTCACTGATGAAGTCGTCAACCAGGTTGACACCATGTGTAATGCATCTGAAATGATGTAAGCTCAATTGTGTGATTATGCACAAACGGATATCAAATGGGCGAGTCTGGAACATAAGACGATGACACGTGAAGTATGCTTGTACGAACAAGACACTGAAGTCTCCAGTGACATCAGTTCTGTAGTGCAAACCATGTCGGGTGAATCAACACGATGATATGAAGAAATTGTTACGCATATTCACTAACACCTTCATCTGTGTATATCTGCTAGTCACCTCGACACTTGATTCCTCCTTCCTGACTCATTCGCCAATCACTCTGGGATTCCACTCATCAACTAGACTGAACAAACTTAGAAAGATTCACGACGTGTGGAGATGGCCTGAGACGAAGCAGTTAAGTGTATTTAGCTGATCGGATTCCTGACCGTCATTTGAATTGATTCCTCAATGAATCTGTGAAATTTATTTCACAAAACGAATTCGGATCAATGATTTCACACATCTCACTTGATATCGTCAACCGTGTGGAGGCGAATTCAAATGACGATTCACTTCGCGTTATTTCTATACACTACACAAAGCCAATTGTACTGAAAAAATGGGAGTTTTTGAGGTCACTTGTCGGGTAATAACGCCGATTTCGTGAACACATTAACTGAGCACTACATATTTGCATTCACTTTATTAATAGATTTATCATATCCCCACTTAAGACTATAAATCAATCAGGGTTGCTACCATTATTCAAACATGTTCATCAGGCCGATGAAAGCATAGGCAAACACATCACTGAGGAACATATTACGCTGAGAATGGTATACAAGTACTTCTTGTAATGAAGTGGAACATTGGGAATAGCGCCAGGGATACGGTATCGAGGATACCAACCAGTTTGAAAATTCATGTCGACTACTCACTCCACTGTAATGGGTTCTCGTCTCCCCCATACTAGTCATGTGAACGATTAACAATTTCGCTTCTCATTCAGTTACAAGTTCACTCTTCACTGTATTTCAACCATTTTCTCCCTGATGTTGGTGTGGTGTATGAGACGTCATTCAAGAAATAAAAGTCACTTCTGAGTAACAGACTCGAGTGAAACAGTACGCCGTCTCATTACTCGATATTAGACCGGCTCACATTTGAGTAAATAGAAGCCAAATTTACTCTCTTTCAACTCAACTCATCAATAAGGAAGTAGGATTTTAACGACAGCGTGAAGATGAGTATGGAATTCTTCGAATGATCAACACTCGCCATTCTTTAGTAAGTATGGATTTCATGAGAACTTAAGCAAGCGGAGAATCAGTCAATCTAACAGGAACGAAGTATCAAGAAGCCTGAGTGAACTGTGAACCGTGCGTAATAAGTGAAATGGCAAGAGTATGCTAAGTGAACCATTGTGATATCAGATATATGGAGGGAGTCCTGCACTTCAGGATACATACCCAAACACTTTGTATATGAAATGGGCAGAATGCAGTTCTTCGATGACAATCACTGAACATGATACCTACATGGATTCTAAAGTCGTTGGTCTATTTTTTTAAGATAAATTGACACCACGAACATGCACAGCATAAAATCGATCTGTTGT